GATTGAAAAGGTCTTGGGTTTTAGCTTGTTTATTATAGCAAACTAATAAGGGTTATAGGACCAATTGAAACAATAAAATTGAAGCCATGAAATCCTAGTGTTTAAATACAAGTTTGAAATGTTTTGAGATGTTAATTGTTATGTTTAAGAATTAAAATAGCATTCAAAATATATACATGTCATGGAAAAATGTTTTATAGGATGCCATCCAAAAGGATATAATAAAAGACCTTATATTTTGCTTAATATTTTTAAAAATTGCCATTGAATTAAATTTTATGTTCATGTAGGTCATATACTTCAATTTTAACGTTAATCGAAAATAAGTAACCATTTTATCGATAATAGAAGATTTAATATTGTTAAATAAATGTGTGTACATGAGGAAAGGGAAAATCAAGACGTCCTGCATTAAAAATGTCAAGATGTTCAACCACAACCATTAAATGTGTTGAGTATAATGTGGGTCCTAATGTTATCAAATTCATGATGCAGCTATTATTACACACCCTTGTGCATATTTAATGCCAACACACCATGATTTTCCCTTTTCCCATGTGTACATATATATATACTTTTATATTTGTGTGTGTATTTGTACTTTTTAATTGGATATCTAAAAAAATAATAGGAAAAGGATCCCAAAAGTATAACATTTTAATAAAACACAATGGGAAAGGACCAAAATAGTCTCTTTCATATACTAAATCATGTTTGAATCCTCAATAGTGTACTCTCTACACACAAAATATAGAAAAATGATCATAAGATTCTATAGAGGATTTTGGTATTATTTCAATTCAAGTTTCCCTCTCGTATCATCGTCTCACTAGTTTAATTTCTTGTGGTTGCAAATCCTGATTCCCCATAAAATATTGTCGTGATTAATCCATTGTACCCCACAAATTACATAAAATAACAAAATTGATTTTGTTCTATGCATTATCACCCTCTTAAGGAATTTTTTGAAGTTTAACAAATTTTTATAATTAAAATTTAATTTTTTTTATTAAGTAAAAGGTAAAAGGTTGGCCCACTCATTGTTTTTCAACTTAATTTTGGGTGTCAAAATTTGAAAAACAAATAAAGTTATATTGTTGCTATAATTGACTTGGACAAAAGTGGATGGATTAAGGTTGGTTGCCAATTGTTAATATGGCAAGGGAATTTTGTTGCCATGGAAATCAATTTTGGATTTTTGTTGCCACTTTTTAATATGTATAAGGATTTTTGTTGCCATTAAACAAAAATT